GACAGGAGGAGAGATGTGGTCAGATTCAGGAGTTTTGGAGGTGGGGTGGTCAAGATGTGAGGATCCCCTCATTGGGCAGAGAAAAGGAGGCATTGAGAATGGCTCCTGAAGTTCTGGCTTTTGATTCTGGAAGGATGATAAGGCTATTTATGAAAATCAGAAAGCAGACAGACAGACTATGAAAAAGATGAAGAGTGGAAGGAGTCCAAGAAATCTGAGTGGCCACTTCCAGTAAGTTTTTGGTTCATGGACTGGAGCCCCGTGGAACCCTAGGTCTCCGTTCGGTCATCTGTACGATGAGGGGATTCGCTAAAGAAACCCCTGAAGTATCCTTCTAAGGTCAGGGGTGCTTAGTTTTGCTGGAGTCAGAGTGAGCTCACCTGCAGCTCAGCAGCGACCCCTGGCGGCCCCGGGAAGCTCTTCCTTCTCCCGCCGCGGGGCCACTCCAGGCTGATTTGCCACGTTCCTTCCAGACAGACCTGAGTGCCGGGAAGGAACCCCTGACAAGGGCCCCCTGCGGAGTGTGTGCATCCAGGATTCTTCGCCGAAGGCTAGTAGGAGCCTGCCCCTCCTCTCTCTTCTATACCCTGCCTGTAACTTCCATTACCCTGCCTGTAACTCCATTACAAGATGCCCCCAATCCCTCCTGAACTGGCTCCACCCAACCCTTCTGGCCCTGGAATCCGCCCCCTTCTCCCTCCCACCCCCCAACCCCCCAACATCCTCCTAGGATCTAGCTGTCCCGCGTCTAAACTAACTTCTCTCTCTCCCATCCCCTTCCTGGGCTACCCAGTGCTGACCACGAGGCCTCCTGGGAGGCCGAAGATTGGAGGATCTGCCTGGCAACAATGACCGAGGGACCCAGCACCTGCCTCCGAGACCCACGACTCATTTTTCCTCCCATCCCTACCCCCACCCCGATCTCTCTCCTGTCTCCTGGCCCAACCCCTTTCCCTCTGGCTCCGCCCTTATCTAGCCCCAAACCCGGCTAGTCCTATCTCCTTCCATTGGCTGGGTACCCAACCCTTAATCACACCGCCTTCCGCATTCCCTCCTTCCACCTTTCCCCCCTGGTCCGGCCCCCGATCCGGGAAGACCTCGCCCCTCGATTGCCCCGCAGCCCAGTCCCCCTAGACTCGATCCCCTTCTTCACCAGATTCACCCTTTTGCCTCAGGCTCCCTCTCTTCCCGTGGCCACGCCCCCCTCGAATCTGGCCCCTCTTTCACAATTTCCCATCCCACTTCCCTGCACTCCCCCTAGGTCTCAGCTCCTCTCCCCTCTCGGGCTTTCGCTGGGAACCCCTGCCCCTGACAGCAGAAGCCCCGCCCACCACGCCCCCGCCCCCGCATCGCCCCGCCCCCTCCTCCAGGCCCCGCCCCTGCGGCCTCTACCTTTGGCGTCTTCCCCTGAGAGGTGGCGGCTGTCCGCGGCCGGGTGCCTGGGGGACCCTTGGTCAGGGGCGCCGGCGTGCCCCGCGGAAGGCAGCGAGGTGACAGTGAACCTGCGGCTCATGGTGCCGAGGGGGCCGGGCGGCCGCGCTGCGGCCCGGATCGCACAAGTGGCCGCAGCCCGGCTCCAGGAGACAGAGAGAGCGGGTCCCCCAACCCCCTGCCGGACGCGGCGCCGCGCGGGGTCCTAGTGCCCGCTGCGCTGCATGCTTCAGACAGACATTTTTGGTTGTATAGGGTGGTACTGGCATTTGGTGGTGGAAGCAACTGTCACCATCTAGGCTGGTACCAAGGCTGTCTGGCCATGAGCCACAGGTTTACCACCAGTTCTCTGCGTAGCACCCCACCCCATGCTGAGGCCCGTGGTATGGGGAGGAGGACTGATTCTGAACGGGTCCAGCATCTGTCCATGGATCCTGCTGCCCGCACAAGGAACTATCTGGCCGAAGCAGTGCCAATGTTGAGAAACTCTGTTCTAGAACAAGGAGCTTAACAGATTTCTAGGTCTTAGGACTGAGCAGGTTTTAAGTGTGATTGAGGGCAAAGGATGAAGCATGTTTGGAAGATGGAGCCCAAGAGTTCAGCTGGGCTTGTTAGGTTGAGGTGCCTATTTGTCGTGTTAGGATCATGCAGAGTCAGCAGTTGAACATACAAGTCTGGAGCTTGGGGGATAAACTTTTGGAGGTGCTACTTCACACTTGGGGGGCCAGACAAGATCACATGGGATGAGTGTACCGTGAGAAGTCCAAGGATTGAGCACAAGGGCACACTATCATTTAGAGATTGGGAAGAGGAAGATCCAACCAATAAGGTGAGAGGAGAAACCGAAGGAAGAGGGATCCGAGAGACCAAGTGAAGAAACTGTTCAGGAAGAAGGGCCTGATTAACTGTGTCAAATACCTGAGAGACGATATAGGATGAGCACAGAGGAGTGCCCCCTGTGCTCCCGTTGCATCTGGCTACAGGAAGATGGTGTGCGGCTTTGAAGAGAGCGATTTCAGGGGTGTAGTGGGCCTCTGTAGTGGGAGCCAGGCTGGGAGGAGTGGAGAGACTGGGAGTTGAGGAAGTGGAGACAGTGAGTAGAAATCCACGCTTTGAGGAAGTTCTATTCGGGATGGGGATGAGGAATAGAGAAATGGAACAGTCTCTAGAGAGAGTCAGGGATCCAGAGGAGTTTTAAACAAGCCATAATAAGGAATGTGCAACTCAATGGAAGTAGGTTATTCTTGAATAAGAAATGGACGAGTTAGAAGAGAGGACGCTTGGGGAGAAGTCCTCTCACCCCCTCCTTAAACTCCCATTTGAACCCCACGTCCAGAAGATTATCAAGTCTGACCAAGCCCATTACCTCCACTCATCTGCCCCATCCTTCATTCAAGGCCCTATGTCATCCTGTAAGGTCAAGTGCATTCAGACCTTCTCTTACCTAGTCCAGACCACCATTCCTATCTGTCATTGCAGAATCTTCTATACTCCCCTCTCATCTACCTGCTAAAACCACACATTCATATTCTGAGGTATTGGTAACTCCCCAGCACTGTCTGCTTCTCCCCACTCACCAGCTGTGAGACTTCAGGTGAGCTGTGCCTCAGTTTCCTCATTTGTAAAGTAGGGGGGGTGCTGACAATAATAGCAGTACCTATAAGTTAAGACAGTGCCTGTCTCATAGGTTTAATTTAAGGTTAACAGACAGAAAACACATGGAGCAGGGCTGGCACATAGTCGGGGTAGCTACTGTTGCCAAATCGAAGAGGGTCTGCCCACCAAACACACAGCAGAGCCAAACACTAAATACCGGTTTTTGCAGTAGAGAAATTAAAGCAATTATTGGCATCAAGCCAGGAAAGCAGCAAACTAGCGCTCAAAATACAAACTCCTTAATGGCTTTAACAACCCAAAGGTTTGTAAAGGCAAAGATTGAGCACTGGGGTTTAGGGGTCATGGGTGAAACTGATTGGCTAGTTCCTGTGCAAGCTCAGCAGTTTCCCTTCGTCTGATTAATTTAGTTTCTTAGGTCCTCTCCTCCGTCCAGTGTCTTTGTCACTGTAGTCAGGTGACCTAACCAGGTTGCAGAACCAAGATTCTGAAAAATATCTCATAATTGTGCATCAGTAACGTTATCTTTAAAGCAAAAGGCTAAACATCTTGTGACCTTTGTCATTGTTTACATTGTTTTGTGCTTAACTAGCCATATTCATCTGTTATTGCAAGCAAATTGTACTTTTGAGCGTTTTTTCCTAAAACTTGCTTTACAGGCAGGCCTCTAGGAATAACTAACATTTTCTTAATCTTTGCCTATAAGCTGCATGACAACCAAAGCAACTGAAACGATTAGATAAAGCCTCTATTATCTAATACCTAAACATGTTTACTGTTAACTGTCAGTTCCACTATCATTCAACGTATAATCTATTTTTTATTTACCACCGCCTTACCCCTGGGCACTTAGGTTGTTGCCTGCACATATAATGCTGCAATCAACATCCTTCCAGGCAGTTGTTGTGTGGGAGGGTTAGAGAGCAGGCTCGTTTTTTACCAAGAGGTAAATAACTAACTCTCCTAGAAGACAGTCCTACTTCTCCAAGAAGAAGCTCTTGTTCATCCTTCCAGATTCAGCACAAGCTCAGATGTCATCTTGGCTGGGCAGCATTCCCTGACTTTAAGCATAACACGCACAAACACCCACAACTTTAGTCTAGGTCCTAGACGAGGCCCTAGTGGTCGGCAAACACATTAGTCAACAGAGTCAAATATCAACAGGACAACGAATGAAATTTCTTTTGAGAGCCAATTTTTTTAAAACTGAAACTTCTTCTAACGCCACTTCTTCAAAATAGACTCACCCAGGCCGTGGTATTTTGTGGAAGAGCCACACTCAAGGGACCAAAGAGCCACATGTGGCTTGCAAGCCGCAGTTTGCTGACCACGGGTCTAGGATAACAGGTCACACATTGCACACCCATCCCTACCAGCCTCAGAGTCACTCTTATAACTATCTTACTCTTTGGGGGCGGGGCCTGGAGTCTGCATGTTCAAATGGTACTTGTATGCACCCTAAGAGTTTGAGGACCCTGAGAGGTCCTCAGGACAGGAACATAGCCCACTTCATCCCTCCATCCCCAGTGCCCAGCACACAGCCTGGCTCCATGTAAGGGCTCAATAAATGTTTTATGAACAATTGGCCGTGTCCTCGGCTGTGAAACAGGAATAATCACATTGTACTTTCCTGATAGGAAGAATTGACTATGTTAATATTTATGAAGTGCTTAGAACATTGCCTGGCACATAGTAACCACTCCCTTGGTTACATACATACATGCATATGTTCCTGCCTATGCAAGCACACATACAAAAATAAATCTCAAGGTTAGAGAATCCAAGTTTATTAAACACATTCCAACAAAAACAGGAAGGTGGGACAAGAGGGCCCAGCCCACCTCCACTCATCCTTTGTCCTTCAGAACAGACCCGCCGGTTTGTATCCAGCAAACTGTCTCCTTCTCCATCAAGATGGGGACCCACACTGCAGTGCTGAAGCAGGAGGGGGTGCCCTAGGCCTCAGGGCACTGCAGGAGATCATAGGTCACATAGTTCACTTCTTCCACCTGGTTTATCCCATCCTGTAAATTCATGCGCCAGTAGTAGCGGTCCTGGCAGAAGTAAGCTTTATCTGCAAAGAAGAGGCAAGTACAAGAGGAGTGATTCCAAACTTCACACATATACATACAAAACCAAAAGCAAGACCTTAACAATCAGCCCTAACTGTTTTGGCTCAGTAGGTAGAGCATTGGCCTGCAGACGATTCCAGTCAAGGGCATGTACTTTGGTTGCGGCACTTCCCCAGTAGGGGGCACGCAGGAGGCAGCTGATCAATGTTCCTCTCTCATCGATGTTTCTAACTATCTATCCCTCTCCCTTCCTCTCTGTAAAAAATCAATATATATATTTGATACTGGAGAGCGCAAAGCCTGATGTCCAAAGCATTGGCACAGAGTGTAGCACACAGGAGGTGCTCAGGACCATTCATTCAACATTCATTCATTCATTCATTCATTCATTCAACAAATCTATTCATTAATTTATTCATTCAACAAATATCTATCATGCCAACTACTGTTAGAAGCACTGAGGAGCCCTGCCAGCGTGGCTCAGCAGTTGAGCATTGACCTATGAACCAGGAGATCATGGTTCGGTTCTCAGTCAGGGCATATGCCTGGGTTGTGGGCTTGATTCCCCAGTGTGGGGCGTGCAGGAGGCAGAGGATCAACGATTCTCTGTAATCATTGATGTTCTATCTCTCCTTCTCTCTCCTTTCCTCTCTGAAATCAATTTTTAAAAAATGTTGAAGAAGCACTGGGGCAGAGCAGAGAAAAGCTGCAGGCATGATCTCAGTTATTTGGGTGCTTATACTCTGGTGCAGTGATTTTCAACCGTTGTGCCACAAGATTTTTTAAAGCATGCAATTCCTGACTACTTAGTCAGGGGCACTAGCCTCTTTTCCCTTAGATTGTCAAATTAAAAAAATGACAACAGCCATCACAACAATAACTGTCCAGTGTAAATGAATCAAAATTATACCTATTTTTTTTGTCAGATCAGCAAAAATATATATATTTTTTTGGTGTGCTGCAGAATTTCAGAAATTAGTTTATGCGTGCCACGAGGTGAAAAAGGTTGAAAATTGCTGCTCTGGTGGGGTAAGACAGATGACTTACAAGCAACTGTGTAAATAAATGAGATTGGCTTTGAAAGTGGGAAGGAAACAAAAGCAAGGAGGTGAATAGATAATGAGGGTCAGAGAAGGCCTTTTTGAAAAGGTGGCTCCAGAGCTGAGACCTGAAGGGCAAGATGGAGGCAGCACCATGGCAACCTGGGAAAAAGCCTTCCAGGCAGAAGGAGCAACTGGCACAACAGCCCTGAGCAAGGGCTGACCTTGATGTGTTCAAAGAGCAGCCAGAAGGCCGGTGTGGGTGGAGTGAGCAGAGGGAATGACAGAAGTCGTGGGAGGGAGTGAGGAGTGAGGGGGTGAGAAGTGAGGGGTTTGATCATGTTAGTTCCTTTGGCTTTGACTAGGTCTGGAATCACTCCTACACAATTGTCTCCATTCCTAACCACTCCGTGTTGGACAACCAGGATGGCTTGGAGTGGGGGTGTTTGCAAAGGAGATAGTGAAAGTAAATAGTTCAGCAATAAAATCGACAGAACTTGTCAACTCACTGCATGTGAGCGATGAAGAAGAGAAAGCAAGTATAATTCCAGCTAGCATCCCAATTTTCCAGAAAGGAAAAACCGAGGCTCTGAGAGTAGCAGTGACTTGCCCAAAGCCACACGGCCATTAATCACCTTATTGGCACTATTGGGGGGGGGGGGAGGGGGGAGGCAGCACGGGATCTGGCACATGATAGGTATTTACAAATATTGCATAATAATGCATGAGCCTTCATGCAAACCATGGGTCCTGTATTGCTGGGGAAAGAGCTTGCAGTTGGGAAAGCAGGAAACCCGGGTCCCAGTCCTGGTTGTGCCCCTGTATGACCTGGGCAAGGTCCCTGCCTCTCTAAAGGCCATGGGGACATTTGCCTCAGTTGCCAGGGCCTTTTCCTTTCTTGCTCAGAATCTGACCAAGCTCTAGCATGGGAAGAGGTGTCTTGGAGAAGGACCCTCCCCGAAGCCCCGCCTGCAGCCATCACCTCGGTACAGGAAGACGTCGTGCATGTTCGTGGGCACCCCGGGGAACGTCCGGTCCACACGGCTGGCGCTCTTGGGATCGACCATCTGCGACTTCGTGTCAAACCTGCGGGAAGGCGGAGAGGAAAGACAGGTGCTGAGCGGACAGACGGACAGGCGGGTGGCGCCCGGGCTCCCCCTGCCGCCAGTCCTCGGGCTCTCACCTCCAGAAGTTCTGTCTGCTGAACAGCAGCACCTTCCCCCCGCCGCGGGGCAGGGCCCCGGTGACCTGAGCCACCTCCGGGCCGAAGCCCAGCTTGTCCAGACGCCTCGGGCCTAGCACCGTCGCGCCTGTGTAGACCCACACTTGGCGCCCTGCAGAAGAGAAGGGTCGCATCAGCCTGAGGGAAGGGAGAAGGCATCCATTCCCCTTAAAATGTCAAAAGGGAAAACCAGTGAGATCTTTCGGAGCCTGGCGCGCCCGCGGTCTCTGTGGCCCGCGAGCAGAGCCTCTCGATAGGATCGTGCAGGGTTCCGGGACGAGGGGAGCTGAGAGTCAGCCCCTGCTAGATTGCATCCGCCAGGAGGGGGCGCGTGTTCTTAAATCCGCCCTTGGCTTTGTCTGGGTAATCCGGGGTCTCTCTGTCCTCCTCGACTGGCAAGAAGGGAAGGGAGAAAGGAGGACACTAACCAGAGAAGAAGAAAATCTTCTTGCTTTGCGGATCCTCAAAGGCGGAATCCAGCTTGGAAGGGAGCGCAGGCCACTTGTCCCTAATCAGGAAGGGGCCCTGCACCAGGCGGCCCTGGGCCTCCGAGAATCGCCAGTACCTCCTGGGAACGGGACAAGGGGGCGGGGCAATGAGCCTCGAACCGAACACCAGTGGGCGGGGCGGAGGTGGAGGGGTCCCTCCTCTAGATCCCCTCCCTCACTCACACCCCTGCGCCTCACCCATCTTTGAATAAATGCAGGTAATTCCCTATCTCTGCGATGGTGTCGAAGATGTCCACGTTGCAAACATTGTCCGCTGGATCCAAAGACTCTGTAGGGGCCACGGAAGGGCCAGCCGTGGGGGCACGCGTGGGGGAATCCGTGGGGCCAGCAGTGGGGGCACCGGTGGGGCCAGCAGTGGGGGCATTGGTGGGGCCAGGTGAAGGAGGGCCTGTGGGGCCAGCAGTGGGGCCCTCTGAGGGGCGGACGGTGGCGCAGACCGTCGGGGGAGCAGTGGGCTGGGTTTCAGGTGTAGTAGTTGGAGGCCGTGGTTCAGGTTTAGGGCGAGGGCCTAAAAAGAGACAGCGGATGAGACACCCCTATCCTGCATGCCTCTGTGCCTGCGGAATACTGTGTCTACTCCGCAAAGCCTGTCAGTCCCCGTGCCCCGCCCTCTGCCCCCCTCCTCTCACTCTCCTCACTTTGGATGCTGGAGCCTGCCTTCCCCCAGGCACAGGAAGGCCTCATCCCTTACACCCAAGCCAAATTTATCCTATGGAGGGCCAGGCCCCGGCTGGGCCTATGATCCTAAGAGAGGCAGGAACATCTCCAACCCCAGCCCCAACCCCAACCCCGCGAGATGGGAGAGAAGTGTGTTTTGAGCACTCAGACTCAGTGCCAACCAGTGCCAACACAAGCTAAGTATGTGATCAAAAAGAACCAATGAAATAGACTCTTTCATACTCCCATTTCTCAAATGAGGAAACAATACGAAAGACAAGTGATAATGGCAATTAAAATATCAAACACTTATATGCGTGTACTATATGCGGGGCAGTATTCTAACTCGTTCAGCCTCTTAAGAACTCCCTGAGGCAGGTAGTATGATCAGCCCCACTAACAGCCCTTCCAGATGAGGAAGCGGCGGGGGAAGTCACATATCCCAGGTCGCCTGGCCAGGAAGTGGCCGGACTGGCTTTTGAACCCACCGCGGTCTCACTCTAGAGTCTGGGCTCTTTATCACCAGCTCGGAGCACTGACCCCACAGCACTGACACCCGCTGGACCCAGGCTCCCCCCCCCCCCCCAGCTAGAGGCTGAAGTCCCAGCTCCTCCCACCCCCCTCCCACCCCGTTCTCCACCCTTCCCTTTCCGCCGCCATCCCCGCCACCAAGCCTCACCGCCATACAGGTGCTGGATGCCCTTCACGTCGTCCTCGTGCAGGGGCGGCTTCTCGGTGTAGCTGTACATGGGGTACATGAGCGCCTCGGGCACGCTGGTGTGGTCTAAGCCCAGGGCGTGGCCGAACTCGTGCGCAGCCACAAGAAACAGGCTGTATCCTGGAGGAAAGGGGAGGAGGAGGGGGTGAGACTTGAGCCCTGGGCTGAGCTCCTAGCTCCCGCCTCCAAAACAGCCTTCCCACCCCCCTAACCCCTTACCCCCATCCCCACCACCCCAGCCCTGGGACCTCGGAGCCCTGCACACCTTGATCGGGGCAGAAACCCCACTTCTTGTCGCTGTCGAAGTTGGGGGTGGTGGCGCACCAGAGGCGCCCATCGGTGCGGCCCTCCCGGGTGCAGGTGGAGTACTCCTGGCCCAGGAAGACGAAGGGGAAGACGCACAGCTCCCCGGCCGAGTTGCCCCCGATCACCGTCGTGTCCACTGAGGAGACCCAGAGCCTTGGGTGAGCGGGGGGGGGGGGGGGGGGGGCGGGCCCAACAGGGAACCAGGGGCGGGCCCAACGGGAAGCCAGAGAATGTTGGTGCCTCGGTAAAGACTAGGGGGCGATGTGGGGCCCCCTGAGCCGGGTAAGCCTGCCGGGAGGAGAGGGGAGGCCCGGGGAGAGGCCGCAGGCTGGGCTACAAGGCCCGGCACCCCAATGGGGCGGGGAACGGGAGGTCAGAGGGAGGGGCTGGTGAGGGGGCAGAGCGCCCCCTGCAGACCAGTGACCAGCGGAGAGACACACTAAAGGGTGTCGGAGGCGCGCTCAGAGGACCGATGCCGGGTCTGAGCACAGAGGCGGGGGAGAGGGGGTGGGACACACACACACACACACACACACACACACACACACACACACACCCCGATGCCGGGTCTGAACCCACGCACCTCGGGTCGGGCAGAAGCCGTACAGCTTGTCCTGGTCATAGTCGGCGGTGGTGGCGCACCAGCGGTAGCCGTCCGAGCGGCCGTCCGTGGTGCAGGCGGAGTAGGAGCGGCCTTCGAAGGTGAAGGGGAACACGCAGGGCTTGCCGTCCGAATTGCCGTGCTCGGTGTAGAGTCCTGGGGAGGCATCCCCCCGGCTTACTGACCCCCGGGCCGCCGCTGCCGCGCCCCACTCTCCCCGTGTCAAGTGAGCCGTGTCCGCCCCCCACCCCCCGCCCCGCACCCGGAGGAGAGAACCAGAGAGCGGCCCGCGGGCCACACACAGCGCTCCGGACCGCGCTGGGACTCGAACCAGCGCTCCGGGCCCGCACTCACTCTCGCTGGGGCAGAAGCCGAACCGTCGGTCCGTGTCGTAGTCCGCGGTGGTGCTACACCAGAGCTGGCTGTCCGAGCGGCCGTCCGTGGTGCAGGCGGAGTAGGAGCGGCCCTCGAAGGTGAAGGGGAAGTGGCAGGGGGCGCCGTCCGCGTTCCCGAAGAAGGTAGGGACCACTGCGGGAGGGGACTGGCGGTCAGGGCGGCGGCGGCCGGGGGGGGGGCGGTCAGGGCGGCTGGCAGGGGCGGGGAGGACAGGGAGGGGGCTCCGGCGGCCCGGGTCTCACCTACGCCCTTGCCCAGAGACCACAGCTCCTCGTCGTCGAAGTGGGCGTCGCCCTGGATGCCCTGGCCCGGGGGAAAGGCATGCGCCAGGAGCCCGTCCTTCCCGTCGAAGGGGTACCCGTCTCCGTGTTCTGCGGAGGCCGGCGGGGAAGGGGGTCACCTGGGTGCAGTGCGCAGGTGGTGCGCTACCCCGGGGGCCCGGACTGAGGGGCGGGGCGCCTACCCAGCCCTTGCGCCCCGCGCTGTGCGGCGCCGAGGGAGGAGGCGGCCAAGGCAGCGGCCACAGCAGGAGCCAGCCGGCCCGGTGCGCCCTCGGCCCTCTCCGGGGTCCCCCCTCCCTGGTCCCTGCCCCGTCCCTGTCCCTGTCCCTGTCCCTGTCCCTGTCCCCGGTCCCGGTCCCTGTCCCTGTCCCTGTCCCCGGTCCCTGTCCCTGTCCCCGGTCCCGGTCTCTGTCTCTGTCCCGGTCCCGGTCCCTCCCGGCTTTCCCCTCTCGCGCTCTCACCCCGGACGCCAAACTGGATGATGATGTCCGCCTCGACGCCGTACACGCGCGTGAAGGTGAGCGGCGTCACGGCGCTCCAGACGGCGAAGGCGCGGGCGAAGGCGTCGTCGATCACGTCGCGGGGCAGGTCCTCCGAGTAGTTCTGGATCCTGCGGGGACGGCGGCAGAGCCAGCGGGTGAGGGCGGGGCGGGCGGCAGCACAGCCTGGGCCTCGGCGACCTCAGCTCCAGGCTTCCATCGGGAAAGCGCTGTCCGGCGGGTGCATCTTCCTCCTGGGGCACACACTGCCCTGGCCGGAGGACTCGGACGGGAGACCCACTTCCCCAAAGGGGGCGCGGGGCTCAGGGGGGTGCATTTGCTCCAGGCTCCCCTTTAGTGAAACCCAGGGGTGGGTCCGAGACAAGACGCATTCCACCACCCCGAGCGCGCGCACGCGGAGACCGGCCTCCTTCCCCCACCCGCTTCGACCCCGCGGACCCGCCACCTACCAGTACGTGAGGTTCTGGTGGTGCCACTTGAGGTCACCCTCAAAGGTCTGGAACCTGCCCACGTCTGGGACGCCGCAGCGCGGGGCGCGCATGGCTGCCAGGGTGGTGCTGTCCAGCTCCCCGGTCTCCGGCAGAGACAGGCGTTTCTGCATCACCCGCAGCGCCCGGCTCAGGGACTGCTTGTCGTCGCTCAGCTCCGCGACTTGAGTGTAGCCATAGCGGTACAGGTACTCCTGTGGGTGGAGGGCAGGGACATCCAGGGCTCTGAGCCCCTTTCTCTGCTCCCTTGGGTCAGAACTCAATCCCCTCAGGAGCTCAGAACCAGCAACAAAGCGTTGATTGGTCCCAGGACGTAGTACCCTGGACATCAGCCCTAGTGCCCACCCAAGCATCTCCCCTCCCTGCAGACATCCTTAGTTCCTTCCCAGCGCTGGATGCTCCTGGCCAGGCCTCCCTCAGGGACCCCTGAGGTCCACCCATGTTCACCCCCAGCCCATGCACACTCCAGAACCCTGGCGTGCTCCCCACCCGCGTATTATTTCCATTGCCCACCTAGGAAACGCATGAACCCACTCTTGACCATCACTGCCCAGAGCCTCCGCAGGACAGCCCCCTCCCAGCGCCTGATCCTAGACACCTCTGTTCCCTAGACATCTCCATTCCCCCAGTGTGGCCCGAAGCCCCCCTGGGATTCCACCTCCAGGCTGAGGTGTTTGCTTACCTCTGCCAGCTGCTTGTTGGTGAGATCTGTTCGCAGGTCTCCGGGGAAGACCACAACGGTGGGCTGGCGTGGTCTGGGGGTTGCAGAGCAATCATCGCCCAGCACCAGGAGAGCCAGGACCAGGAACAGCCAGGGGCTCATGGTGAAGGTGGCAGTGTCTGGCTGCAGCTGCCCTCGTGGGGGCTTTAAGGAGGCAGCGTTATCTGAATCAGTGGCCCCGCCCCTCACCGCCAGGCTGACTCAGGGGATGGGGTGTGTGCATGTGTGTGCATGTGTGTTGGCAGCCCCAGTGTGAGAAGGTAAAGAAAGGGCTTACACCACCTCCTCCTCTCCCTGCTGCCCACAGTCCCTCCTGCTGAGTCAGGCAGGACCCCCTCCTGCTGAGTCCGCAGAGACCCACAGGAAACCACAGGCCCATACAGGAAGGTTGGGTTTTGCAAACGGCACAGCTTGTGAGAACTTTTATGAAAGAAAGGGAGGAGCCCCCCAACTGAAGGCCCCTAGACGTCAGTCAGCTGAAGGGAAGGGAACGGGGCCTTTATCTGAACCTAGTGATCCCACATCCTAGTCCAGACCCCCCTCTGTGGGCCCCACCCCACACCCCCAGGCTCTGCCCACTGTCCTCTTCCCTGGAAGCCTTCCGGGACTCGGCTTCCTCTCCCTGCTCCACCTGGCCTGCAATGAGAGGCCTCTGCTCCGCTGGAGCTGGGGAAATCCACTGGGCAAGCCCCGATTTCCCGGGGCTGACTCCTTCAGGGCAGCAGAGGGGGAGTGTGTTGCATCTGGAAGCCAGCACATATGGTTTTCCTCTCTTCCTACAGTGCCTTGGGCAAATGTCCTCACCACTCTGAATGTGTTTCCTCAGCTGTGAAAGGGGGCTCTTCATCCCTAAATTGATGTGAGGAGAATATGAGATCCAACGTCCTCAACAGACCTGACGAGATCGCTTTTGATTGCAGTATTTGGGCCAAGATCATGATTCCAACTTGGAATCAGGAGACTGGGGTCTTGAGTTCTATTCTCCTGTGTGACCTCCCCTTTCTGGCTTTGGGCTCACCTATAAAACGGGGAGAGGGGGTTACCTCCTGGAGCACTTTCAGTTCCCTAGCCCTGCTTCACCCATACAAGCTCCAGTGCTGACCACGTATGCCAATAAGCCAGCAGCTTCCTTCCTGTCCTTCCCCCCCCCCCCCCCCCCAGCCCGCCAGAGTGGGGCAGGATCCACCATTGCCTTCCTCAAGGCATTCTTTGGGAAGAATGACGATAAAAGTCCAATAAGCTGTATTTAAAGGACTTACTCAGCGCCAGGCACCTTATATGTTTATCTAATAAATGAGGCTGTGAGGTGGAGACAATTAGCTGCCCTTTAGGAAAGTGGAAACTTGAGAGTTCACTAATTAAGGAGTCACACCATCCTGGTGTTCAGTCCCAGCTCTGCCATTTCCCAGCTTATTGACCTTGGGCAAGTCACTTCACCCCTGAGCCATAATCATCGTGTGTTTTTTTTTTAGTATATATATTTTATTGTTTTTTTTACAGAGAGGAAGGAAGAGGGATAGAGAGCTAGAAACATTGATGATGAGAGAAACATTGACCAGCTTCCTCCTGCACCTCCCCCACTGGGGATGTGCACGCAACCAATGTACATGCCCTTGACCGGAATCGAACCTGGGACTCTTCAGTCCACAGACCAACGCTCTATCCACTGAGCCAAACCGATTTCGGCCATCGTGCATTTTTTTTTTTTTTTTGAGATTTACTGTGGAATACTTTGATGAGTCCCCTATAAGCATATCATCTCATCCTCACCACCAGCTGGGGGGGGCAGGTTTGAGTATCCCTCCCATTTTCAGGGGAGGAAACTGAGGCTCAGAGCAATTAAGGAGCATGCCTTAATCATCCAGTGAGTTAACACAAAAAAAACCAGGACTCAAGCCGAGGGCTCCCTAGTTCGGAAGTTTTTGATGGTTGTGGCATTTCCAGGGAACTGAGATGACTAGGGGTTGGAGAGGAGTTGGAGGATGGGCTGAGGGGAAGACTGAAAACCTAGACCCATTTCCCCTAATCCCTTGCACCCACTGAATGTCAGAGGGTAGGCGTAGGCCTTCGGGGAATTAGAGGCTAGGACATGGGACCCAAGGGGGCTATAGTCCAGACTTGAGAGTGTGGGGTCAGAGCAATATGATTTTAGCGATGGAAACAAAGAGACCCTTCGATCCAGAGGGTCTTCATCTGGAGGCAGACATGGACTTTAAGAGAATCCATGAACCACCTCTGAACATTGCCACCAGTTGTACAATGTCTATGTATACATGCCACATCTCTCAAATTTAGCACCATTGACGTTTGGGCCAGATAATTCTTTATTGTGGGGGCCATCCATCTGTTGTAGGATATTTAGTAGCATCCCCAGCCTCCACCCACTCGATGCTGGTGGCAACCTCCCCCTGCCAGTTGTGACAACCAGAAATGTTGCCAAATATTGCCAAATTTCCCCTGGTTTAGAGGGCCCAAGGCACCCCCATTGGCATATGTTGATTTTCTTACGTAAAGGGTCCAAAACTTTCATCATATACTCAAACCATTGATGTTGATCTTCAAACCTTAAAGACCACTTACTCACCCTAACCGGTTTGGTTCAGTGGATAACGCATCGATCTGCGGACTCAAAGGTCCCAAGGTTTCATTCAGGTCAAGGGCATGTACCTTGGTTGCAGACACATCCCCAGACACAATAGCAGGAAGTGGTTCTGGTTACCACACCCCCTTCCCCACTTCCTCAGCCCTTCTTTCCACTACCACAACATAGTTTAGCCAAGACCCTTGGAGAGGAGGCAGGAAGCAGGATATTCCCCCAGGTGGGCACCCTCTAAGCCTGACCAGAGTCATAGCTTACCCTCTAAACTCACCCTGTGGAGGCCCTATCAGGATGGGATGGGGCTGATCCTGGAGCCCTGAGTCACCAGCTGGATGACACAGCCCTGTGTCTGCAACCAAGGTACATGCCCTTGGGTGGGGGTCGGGGGGGTGCAGGAGGCAGCTGATGGATGTTTCTCTCTTGTCGATGTTTCTAACTCTCCCTTCCTCTCTGTAAAAAATCAATAAAACAGATTTTAAATAAATAAATACATACATACATACATACATACATACCACTTACTCAACAAATATTGGTTACGTTTTTACAGGTTAGGCATTATGCTAAGAACTGGGAAGCCTTAGCCAGTTTGGTTCAATGGATAGAACATTGGCCTGTGAACTGAAGGGTCCTGGAAAGGGTACATGCCCGGGTTACTGGCTTGATCCCCAGTGGTGGGGAATGGAGGGGAGCATGTAAGAGGCAGCCAATTAATGATTATCTTTCATCATTGACATTTCTATTTCTCTCTCCCTCTTCCTTCCTCTCTGAAATCAATAAAAATATTTTTTAATGAATTGGGAATATTCCCATCCAATGTGGCTCAGTGATTGAGAGTTGATTCATGAACCAGGAGATTACAATTTAATTCCTGGTCAGGGCACATGCCTGGATTGAAGGTTCAGTCCCCAGTAGGAGGTGTGCAGGAGGTAGCTGATTAATAACTCTTTCTCATCATTGATGTTTCTAGCTCTCTCTCTTCCTCTCTCTTCCTCTCTCTGAAATCAATTTTAAAAAAAACATTTTTTTTTAAATAATTGGGAATACAGAAGTGACCAAGATAGCTATTGTCCAGTGCTCAAGGATTTGAGAGTCCAGTAGTGGAGAAATAAAATGAGTAATTTATTACCAGAAAGACAAGCATCACAAAAGGGAGGCATAGTTATCTACTCCAATTGCCCCCATCATGCAGATGAGGAAACTGAGGCAGGCCCAAAGTGGAGAATTTTCCTCTCCTAGATCACAGAGCAAGCCAGGGACTGAGTGTAGGGGACAAGAAGGAATGGTAGCTAAGAGCCTGCACTCTAGAGCAAGCTGCTTTGGTTCAAAGCTCAGCTATGGCATAGACCTGCTGTGGGATCTGAGTAATTGGCATAATTGGTCAAGGCCTCAGTTTCCCCATCTGTAAGAGGTTAACAATAGTACTTACTGCCGAAACTGGTTTGGTTCAGTGGATAGAGCATCAGCCTGCGGACTGAAAGGTCCTGGGTTCGATTCCAGTCAAGGGCATGTACTCTGGTTGCAGTCACATCCCCAGTAGGGGGTGTGCAGGAGGCAGCTGAACGATGATTCTCTCTCATCGATGTTTCTAACTCTCTATCTCCCTCTCTCTTCCTCTCTGTAAAAAAATCAATAAAATATATATTTTTAAAAAATAGTGTTTACCTCAGGGGGTTATAAGAGACAAGTGAGTTAACATATGTAGAGTGCCTGACACATAAGAAATGTTTGGGGCTACTCTAATTATGATTGCTTCTGGACCAGCTGACTGTTTTTACCATTGGGAAGCAGGGAAAGAACACCCCACCAGGAACCCTAGAAATTGATTCCTGGAGTCAATCCAAGCAAGAAGCCTCCTTTCTTCACTCCCTCCCAACTTCCTCCTTTACCCCCTGGTTCCACAACCCTCATCAAGGGGAACTTCGGGAGAGCTTGGCTTTCAACATAGCAATGGCAGGAAGTGGTTCTGGTTACCACATCCCCTTCCCCACTTCCTCAGCCCTTCTGTCCACTACCACAACATAGTTTAGCCAAGACCCTGGGAGAGGAGGCAGGAAGCAGGATATACCCCCAGGTGGGCACCCTCTAAGCCTGACCAGAGTCTTAGCTTACCCTCTAAACCCCTCACCCTGTGGAGGCCCCATCAGGATGGGAAGGGGCTGATCCTGGAGCCCTGAGTCACCAGCTGGATGACACAGCCCTTCAGGCTGCTATTAGTAATTCCAGGCCCCTAGACCGGGGTCAGCCTCACGAGATGAGGAATCTCTCCCCCTAACTAGCAGGGGGAACTCCAAGCCTATTTCTCCAAAACCTGCCAGAGAGGGGAGGGGCAGCCAGGCCTGAGAGGCCCCGGCAGGATGTGGAGAAGACACTTGTGTCTAGGATGAAGCAGAAAGGTGTGTATATTGCAAGACATTTCCTCAGGGGAGAACATCACTCATGTACCCACCCCCACCCACAAACACACCTGCCATCCCTAGCCTCAGGGTGGTGGCAATTCCCA